TAATAAGTATATGGTTCTGGTAATATGAAGTGGCGAATAAAAGTTACCTTGAAGAATTTTCCGCCAAAGAACTGCACACCCATGATACTGAAGATGAGCCAGAAGACGAGGCAGACGAGAAGCACGTTGCAGATGGATGGGATTGCGAACATCAGCGCATTGACCACGATCTGTGCACAGAAATATAGCAATCATATGCCGAGCGTTGCTATTAATCTGTTGTCATGTCAACCGTTTCATTCGCTAAATTTACTAGCAGATCAGATAAATGTGAAAATATCATACGTCATGACAGAATCTACTCGAGAATGGTATAATTTCAATTTGCAGTCATTCACACACGGGCTCTTATTGAAAATAGTGCTTATATATTCATCCACATAATTATTTAACTGCTTTTAACCATAATTTCAGTATTACATCTTGATTAAACAAGCATGACGCTCTGCTTAATTATAAAATGAATCCTTTCTGATGTCTGACCGCACTTTATCTTTCAGTGTTGCATCAATTGTTGGCAAAAAATTGTTATTCCTTTTACGTTTGTAAATTTGTGTGTTTATTTTAACCTTTTGTTGTAGTTTGGCATATATTTATTTATATGTTTATTAGTTTCTATATTGTTTGTTTGTACATGCCTATATTCTATATTTGATATCTGTACGGACCTGCAGTACTTCGGGAAACAAGTGGTAAATAACTTAGTCAGTAAATAACGCGCGGCTACACAGTGCTATCCTGCGCCACCAATCTACACGACTGGCTACCTCACAGACCGGCTACGACACACGCAGACAAGCTACATGTGTACGGGCTACATGTGTACAGGCTACATGTGTACGGGCTACATGTGTACAGGCTACATGTGTACAGGCTACATGTGTACGGGCTACATGTGTAGACGCTACATGTGTACACGCTACATGTGTACAGGCTACATGTGTACACGCTACATGTGTACAGGCTGGGTGTACGTACGTACCTTCATGCCCTCCCAGCGTGAGATGGCTCGCAGCGGCCGCAGTGCCCTCAGCGTGCGTAGAGAGCGCAGGGCGACGATGTTAGAGTCGCTTTGATGACTCTCCTTGCTCTCAATGATTGCGCTGATGACGGACACCTGAACGATAGAGCAAAGCAATGATACAGAGCATGAAAGATGCCTCCCCACAAATAGTCCGCAACAGACTTTCCAAAAATATATACAACCACTGTTTGTTGGCACAACATCGATTTTTATCAGGTAAGATTTATATATATATATATATAAATAAATAAATATATATATATATATATACTCGCCAATAAAACGTGACAGTCAATCTAATTTTAATTTTTGGCTAATCACTTTTTTTCACAAATTGTTAATGAAGGGACCTACATATGCACCGCCCTATAATACGGAATATCTACGAGATATTTGCAGATAATAACCAGAGCCTCAGATAGAGACTATATCTCTATTTGGTGTAAACATCTCGGGAAGGGCGTCCGTAACGCGTACGAGCAAACACAGACTCTCGAGTAGACCCAAACATGGCGCCCTGTGCTCACCGTCACGATGAAACACAGACTCTCGAGGGGACCCAAACATGGCGCCCTGTGCTCACCGTCACGATGAAACACAGACTCTCGAAGGGACCCAAACATGGCGCCCTGTGCTCACCGTGACGATGAGCAAGAGAATCAGCAGAGCGCCCGCTACGCGCCCCCTCCACGCCACCGCCCAAGTGCCGTCTACTGCCATCCAGCCAGCGAAGTGCGCTCGCTGCATTCCAGCAGCAGAGTGCGCTACGTCCACTCCACACAGCAGAGTGACGCTATCTGTCATCCAGCCAGCAAGAGATGCGTCAACTCGTCATTCCAGCCAGACAGAGTGTCGCTAACGTCACTCCAGCCAGCAGAGCGCACTAACTAGTCACTCACATGCGCCGCAGAGTGCTCTACTGTCAC